AGCCTGCCGCCCCCGGGGCTCCGCTCCTGTGCCACCGGGGCTGACGGCAAGTTGGGTTCCTTTGCAGCTGGCTCATCGCTATCCTGGCCCAGGCCAACCCCCTGTTTGGGCCGCAGCTGAAGAACGAGACCATCTGGTACGTGCGTTTCCTCTGGGAGTGAGCAGTGCCTGGAGCCGGCGCCTCGACAGTGACCCCCCCAAACCTGTCACCGTGAGTGGGCAGAGGGCTGGGGTAGCACAGATGTCCCTGCTTGTATGCCTGTGTCTGGCTGGGGAGGGAGCTGCATGCAGCCCTTGCTGGGCTGGGGAAGATACTTTGGCTTCTATGCGTTGTGTCTGTGGTAAGCTGGTCTCAGCATGGGGCTCTGCACTGTGGGAGATTCCTCTTGAGTGCAATTTGGTGCTAACTTCTCCTTTCTCCCTCCCTCAGCTCTTGCAGCTGTTCCAGCCTCTACCTTCCTGTACCAGGCAGTCCCCAGAGGTGCTGGGACAGAGGCTGGACCCGCTGCCCCAGCGCACCTGGAGCACTGCAGCTTGCACCACTGATGGCTGGGCCCCTGAGCAGGGCAGGGAGCACCCCTGGACAAGGGCCTAGTAAGCCAGCACTAGGAGCAGCCATACTGCCAGGGAGAGATCCCTTCAGCTGGCCAAATACTGCAGTCACTGAACACCATCCTGTGAGGGATCTGTATGCTGCCAGCTGGTCCTGTCCCAGCAGTGCTTGCCCTGCTCCCTCGGCACGCTCAGCCCTAGCCCCCAAGTGAAACCCCTGCTCATATCCCAAGCTGCCCAACTAGTTGCCCTGGTCATTTCAGCCACTGGCTGTCTCCCGGTATGAAAAGGCAAGAGTCGTTATGTCCTCTGTGGTATGGTCAGTCCCTTGTGGGGGTGGTCCCTGCTAGGACAGATTGTGGCTGTGGGTGGGAGAAGGGAGAATTGACCCTGGAGGAGCATGCAGACCTACTTGGGTGTGATAAGGCAAGTCTTGGGGTCTGTTGCTTGGCAGTCTGCTAGAGGTAATGGAAGGGGTGCTGTTTCTCACCTCAGCAGCAAGGGAGCTGCAGTACAGTCTAGGTATCTCCACCACACCAACATGGGTCCATGTTCTGAGCAGAAGCAAGTAGGGCATTGTGTTTTAGGTTTCCCCTTATTTATCAGATAATTTAACTGTATTTATTTATTTATTTGTCTGTGTTTGTTAATTTTGTGTTGTGGAAATAAATCTGTTTTCTAGTAAGTGATGCTGGAGGCTGTCTCTGCTTTTGAGGCTGAGGAACAGTCTTGGCCTTATTGAGACATCCTTCCTTCCCCCTAACCCTGCTCTTGCACCATGAGAACAAGGCTGGGATCCTCAGCTGTTGAGCAGGATGTTGGCAGCACACTGATGCATGGAAAGTTTTATCCTTGGTGCCACCTGTGCACTCATCTTGTGGGACTGGGGTCACAGGTAGGGAACAGCATGTGCTAGAGAACCAGGTACCTGCCCAGTCTCTCATGGCAGGTGGCCATGCTGAGGCCATCTCCATGGCTCTGCAGCAGCTGGAGCAGCTTCATGGCCTCTTTGCCAGGCATCTCTGTAAGACTGGAGTCAGAAATAAGGTAAAAAGCTGGGACCAACATCTTCCAGGGGCTCTGAGTGGGCAGGCTTTTCCTCTTAGAAGCAGGGCAGCAAAGGATGCTGTCTCCAAGGATCACAACAGTCTGGTTTGGATTAGAGTTCTCCTTGCTGCTGTCAGGTCAGTTGAGCTTAGCTGTGCTGCTGCAATCAAATGATACTGGCAAGAAAGCTCTATCATCTCACCCCGGTGGCACAATGTTGTGCAGACATGCAGCCCCCCAGCCATGCCCCAGCCAGGAGCCATCTCTGCTGGGGAGCTGCTCACTAGGAAATAAGACCAGTGCTGGATGGCTCAAGAGGTTTGTTTATTGCTACAGGAATGGGAACAGCTGAGTTCAAGTAAAAAGTTACAAACTTCATTGGATTATCTGTAGGCTCCAGTCCTAGGGGAGGAAGGCATGTGCCTGTGTGCAGAGCCACAGCCCAGACCTGTCGTGGGGCAGTGAGCTGGGCAGGACTGAGGTGGTTGGTTCTCCTATGGGCAGGCCCAGCCCGCACTCATGGGGCAAAGAACCATAGGTCCTGGTACTAGTGCCAGATTAACGTGTGGGACACCACGGGGCATTTGTGCCCAGGAGGGAATGTACGAAAGGAGAGACAGCCCACTTTGGTGGTGCCTTAGGAACCAATCCCTGAGCCCTCAGGGCTGAGTCTGGGATGTTGGGTAGGACTGTAGGAGGATTGTCCTAGGAGGGAAAGACATAGCAAAGAGCAGGATACCTCTTCAGGAATTGCTCCAGGGGCCAGGCTGGCCAGAGCAGCTCAGGAACTCATGGCCCACCTGGTTCCTGCAGTAACTGTGCTGGTGACTGCTGTTCTCCAGCCCGTGGGCTTGTCAGGGTCTGCAGGAAGGTCACTATAGGTGATGAGCCACAGAACCTCACCAGGTTGCCCTGTAAACCCCAGCTGAAAGGAAGTTGTAGTCAGGTGGGAGTTGGTCTCTTCTTGCAGGCATCTAGCAGTAGGACAAGAGGGCACAGACTCAAGCTCTGCCAGGGGAGGTTTAGGTTGGATATTAGGAAGAGATTTTTTTAGAGAGAGTAGTCAGGCATTGGAATGGGCTGCCCAGGGAGGTGGTGGATTCACCATCCCTGGAGGTTTTCAAGATGAGACTGGATGTGGCACTTAGTGCCATGGTCTAGTAACGACAGTAGGGTTGGACTCGATGATCTTTGAGGTCTCTTCCAAACAGGTTGATTCAATGATTCTATGGGGTGGCTCAGTGCTTCAGGCCACAGCCCTGGGTCAACTGCCTCAGTAATAGTGTCCTGTTATCTCTCAGACCTGCCAGGGCTGCAGCCTTGAGCCCGCTGGCAACTGAGGACTTTGCTCTACACCACGTAGCAAGGCAAAGGCCAGAGGCCAAGGAATGCGAAGATTAGGACTGGGGCAAGCTGGAGGGAAAAGCTCCAGTGTCCATAGCTGCCCCAGCCCATAGGCTCTGGTACTGCTGTGAAGATGATGGAGTGCACATTTTGAGATGGTCTTTAAGAAAGAGTCCAAGCCCTCAGAACCCAGGCTGTCAGCGAGTCCTGGTTCTGCTGGTGCAACTGGGTGGTGGGTACCAGCGGCATCATGGCACGTTTCCCTGGCCCAGCGGCACCACCACCTTGTCCAGCCAGAGCAGCGAGTGCTGGGCCAAGCGCAGCTGCCGGCGATGGATGCGGCGCAGCCGCAGGAGGTAGAGGACTATGGCCAACACTACGACCAGGATGCAGGCGAAGAAGATATAGTGGTTGTAGACAAAAGAGAGACGCAGCCAGGAGGTGTGTGCCTGCCGGATGCTCTCCTGACGGAGATCCCTGTGGAGAGGAATGTCAGGACTGGCCATGAGATTGCTGTAGAGTACTGCCAGGATCCTGCCATGGTCCGTACTGCTGGTCCCATCCTGGGGTGGCAGAGGCCTCACCTGGTGCAGTTACTCCTGCTCCTCCCCAACCACCCCTCCCTGCATGATGCCATCACTGAGCCAACGGTACCTGAGTGGCAGAAATCGGGTCTTGTAGAGGATGGCTCCCAGCGTCCACTGCACCTCCCGGTCGTACACCAGCTGGGCTGTGCGCAGGCTAGGGTAGTCCAGCGGGAACTGGAAGCCCTCATGAAGGATTTGGTACATCCAGGCTGATTTGAAGCACTGGTATCTGCAGGTACAGCACACAAGAGTATGGGTCAGACACTGCCACCTGTACCAGTCCCTTGCCACAGTGAAAGCCCCCAGGAGGTCCAGTCATGGCACCTCCCAGCCAACCCGTTTACTTCAGCCGGTGCTGGTCAGCGTGGGCAGAGTAGAGGCCACCACGGAAACGCTGGGTCAGCACCTCCCACCGCTGGCTGCAGTACTCCTGAGGAAAGAAGTAGAGGTTCAGAGCAGAGAAGCAGCCCTCACTCCCAGCCCCCTGGGCTGGGGCTGCACCCACCTGAGCAGCAGAGGTGAAGGTAGGGGCATTGTATTGGCCCCCCAGGCGCAGCACATCCTCAGTGCAGTAGAAGAACTCAGAGAAGCCATAAAACTCGCTGTTGCTGAAGTCGATGGGTGCTTTTTTTTGGGAGGCCTGGCTGCCATTGGACCCTGCCAGGAGGGGCTGCAGCAACTTCGCACAGGCCTGCCAGTCCCCTCGTCCCCGCACATACAGGGTTTGGCCACCCTTTGCCACTGTGTCCTCCAGTCCCACAGGCAAGCAAGGGTCCAGGAAGGGCATCTTGGAGCTCAGCCCTGTCTGTTGGCTGTGCAGGCTGGAAAACAGTCAAGAAAGGAAAAGCAATTGCATAGGGGGTCCTATACCACCTCCCAAAAGCATGGTCCCACATCTGGATACCCTCTGCACCGAACCAGCCTGTGCCCCTTTGTACCCTGCCACCTCCTGCCGAGGCCAAACTCGCCACATCTGTCACACTGACACGCAACTACATGCCTGAGCACCTGTGGGGTGCAACAAGGCACAGCCCACCCACCCAGCTGTGCCCCTGCACAGCCCCAGGGGATCTGGAGGCAGGATTTGCTCCCGGCACAGGAGTACCTGGGCACCAAGCCTCTCCACCTTTGGTGACAGCTTCAGGTAGTGCTCTTGGAAGGGGAGACAGGAGACAGAGAGCTCGAGGTGGGGATGCAATGGAAAGATGTGCTGAGTGAATCGGTACTGGAGAGGGAGGGGAAGTCAGAGCAGGAAAAGCCAAAAGCCAGCAGAGGGGCCTCCCCACAGCCTGTCACAAAGAGAGGAGAAGGAAGGCGGGGAGTTGTGGCACTGATAACGTCAGCCAGGCTTGGAGAAGGGCAGCACCCATGCACCCTGTGCCAGCTCAGGCGCCTTGCTGCCAGCGTGGCTGTGTAAGCTGCTATTGCCACAGGCAGCTCTTGAAGCAAATCCAAGGGGGAGAGGGCAGCAAGAAGGAACCAGCACCCCATTTCACGATGCCCCAGAAGGGGCACTATTAGGTGAGGCAGCAATACCGGTTGTGCTCATAGGTTTGGTTCAGCACAAGCTCCTCATAGCGCTGCCGGGCAAAATTGCCCCCGAAGCCCAGGAAGGTGTTGACGTAGACACGGTACATGTGGCCAGTGTGCTGCACATCACAGCCCAGGTTGAATTCTGCCAGCAAGCTCTTAGCCTCCTCCTGGGGATGCAGAGAGGGCCATGATCAGCAGCAACCCAGGGAAGATAGGGGCTGCTCTCGGGGCCAACCGGCCAGACACGCACCTGCTGTGGGGAGGAGATGGCGCCGGAGTCGGGCACTTCATAGGCAATCTGCAGGGAGGCACCTCCCATGTCTAGGATCCCAACCGTTCGTTTCCGAACCAGGGACTTCCCCTGGTCCCCTAGTGCTACGGTGACCACTGCATCCTCCTCTGCAACCCATAATGGCATGTCAGTGAGGGGCAGGGCCTGGGGCAGCATCTTCTCCCCTTCTTTATTACCCTCCACAGCCACCTCATGGGGCTTCTCCACCCCTGCAAGCAGCCCCCAAGGACCACTTGCAGGGTGGAGGGTCCTGGCAATCAGGACTAGACACACTCTGGCTTTGTAGGTTCCCCCAAGTCACCCACTTGCTGCAAGCCACCATGAACACTATCACAAATCCTCTCTCCCAGATTCTTCTCCCAAAATGCTGCAGATGTCCCCCTCACACAGGGGCTTGTTACTTGTCCCTGTGACAAGGACAAGTGCCCCTCTAGATCCCAAGTCTTTGAGAGTTTCACGCATATGACTGGGGTCGGGCATTGCTGCATACTCCAGAGGTTGCTCTAGTACTGGGGCGAGGTCCAGCATGACTCTGGTCAGACCCTCCCAGCTGCTCTACAAGCAGCCAGACTCACCGTCCTCGTGATCAAACCGTCCCAGGACAAAGTTGATGCCAATCCAAGCATAGACACCTGTACAAGACAGAAAAGGTCATTAAGACAATATACTAAAGAGAACCAAGCAGTGCTTTGTGGCAGCTCCTACCTTCCTGTTTCCCTGAGATCACTTCTGCATGTGATTTGGAGAAGAGGAAATCAAACTCCAGGGGCACATTTCTCACCAGGTCCTCCAGGATTGCAGCTTGCTGCCTGAAGGGGTGCAGGAGAGGGACAGATGTTGGGGGACCTTCACTAGCAATGCTGGTGAAGAGACAGCTGGAATCACGCTGTACTACACCCCATGTTCAGCCCCACAAGCACTGCTGCTGCACCCAGCGTGCTTTGGAGAAATTAGTTTGAAATCCTCAGTAAAAGCATCTCCTCTCAGCTTCCTCCCAGCATACTCAAACCCTCCTCCTGCATCCCTTACCACTTGCCCCAACAATGTGCCCTTTCCTTTCTCCATTCACCCCCAGCATTCCCAGTTCTTTCGTTAGGCTCAAGAGAAGGTAGCTGTCTTGCCCCTCCTCGGGGCTGAGAGACTCCAGTGCATCCCTGGCTTGCCCGACAAGGGCCGTAACTCACCGCTCGGGCAGCAATCGCATTCCCGCCGTGCACAGGATGTACAGCGGCGTTTCCTTGTGCTTCCGAGCCGGGACATGGGCTGCCGCGAACCGGAGCAGAGGGCGCAGGTAGGGGGTAGCCTGCTCGGGGTCTGCCGCAGTCACAGAAATGC